TGAACAGGTGGACTCAAATTGTAATGTGCAGCAGACTTATCATGCTTTTTTTATTTTCTGTAATATTTTCTCAGTTTGGTCACCTCAAACGTAGAGCTCTGGCCTTGTGCACGGAAGACCCTCCCACCTTCTGCACGTCAAAGAACTATTCTTTGCCTTTGAAAAACATGAAGCAATGATTTAGAGTAAACTGCAACTGAAATACACACTATCAAGGGTTTATGTATTTCAATAATCAATCATAAAGAGAAATATGATTGGTATAAACTGAATGCATTCTAATCAAGTTTTAATCAATTTCATTCGATCAAATTCCATTAAATTTTACATTTTAAATTGTACTTATGTTACGAAATTACATGGAAAATTAACATGTGTGTATTCAAACCTTCTTTTTGCCCGGATTAGGCAATTAGAAGAAAATCTGTCTTAAAGGGAGGGTGGCCTTAAAGTAAAAGGTGCTAAAACACCTTGTTTCAAACAGTGTAAGATAAACTTTGAGCAGAGATTAACTTGAGAATTAGCACAATAGAAACCCTTTAAGGCAGAAAACTCCACTTATATAAATGAAGAGCTTTTACAGTCATAGTACATAAACATGTTCTATCATCATCTGTTTGTATAATGCACAAGCTTGAAGACCCAATATGAAGATTGTCTTGTTTGTCTTGTTTGTTTTGCAAGTTTATTTTAGCACAAAATGTATCTCTATATATCTCGAAAAATATAGATAAATTGTGTGGTCAGCTGTGAAATGCATTTGACTTTTTTTAATAATGTGTGGACAGAGTTTTGCATTCCAGTGGTCATATGATGGAAATAGATTGAAGTTGCTGATCTATGCAAACCACCTCAAGGCGTAGATTTGGGGCTGCACACAAAATGTGTATTTATTGAATTAACTCAAAGAAAAAGCATGTGAGGATCATCAGTGGCAGGGTCAGGTCTAAAGAGCTAATAAATCTGAATGGTTGCTACACTGCTCCAATTTGTGCCAGAGGATAATATTTTGGAACTTTGAAAGTGTTCCAAAGGAGATGAGAAAAAGATAGGATTTAATCCAAAACAGAATCTTGGAGAGACATCTCTCTTTTTTTGGTAACAGAATGTCTTTGTAATATCAACCATTCATCACAGAACATTTTGTTCAATCAGGTCGAATTTGAATTTTACGTATACATATGTTTCCCTGTTGCAAATGGGCCAAAAAGTGAGACGCAACAAGGTTATTGCTTTCTGTTTGACCAAATCTTCCCAAAGTTCCTGTCACCTGTGGTTTTTAGGTCACCACTCATCCCGTGGTTATTTCAGTCAACTTTGTGGTGTAGAGAAATATTTCCTTGCACTTTTATTTATGTAACCATGTTGATTTAGACATAGACATGGACTTTATTTAAACTCACACTGGGGAAATGAACTTGTTGCAGCAGCACAAGTGACAGGAAAAAAAAAGGCGAATTAGACATGGATTAGAAAACAATGTGTCATTTAGCTAAAAAAATAATGTGACTATGTGAGCTTTTGTAGCTGAAGTCTCTCTCTTATATCACTGCCCCCAGTATACTGAATAAAATTTAGCAAAATTTGCAGTGCCAATAAATCTAATAAAGCAGTGGTTCTCAAACTGTGGTATGTGTACCACATGGGTTCCCTCTAATGGTACGTGGGAGGACTCCCCCCCAAATTTTTAAGATTAAATAATATACCATGTTCTTTTTGAGGGATTTCTGAAAATTTTAAATGTACAGCTCTGCTATCACTTCCGACATAAATGAAGACAGGAAACTAAACAGCAGTGGCGTTTGTAGGGCTATGTGGTGGCAACACAGTCATTAATATACTGCTGCATGGGCTGAGCTGTAGTTACATCGTAAGGTTTTAAAAACTGAGCTTTAAAAAAACAGTGGTAATGAAAACCGAGAGAGACCGACAGTGATCACCGACTGTTTTTAGGGGCTTGTTCAGATTAAATAGAAGAAGATACAAAGCTTTAAAACATGTTAAAAACACAACAGCCTTAATAAACGAAGAGTAATTTGGACTCAGAAGCAGGGTTCATAAGTCATCATTTAAAGACCGGATTAAAGACCGGTGAATGTTTTAATGCAGAGCAGTTGTTATTATTATCACTTGTCACATCCTGTTTATGACAGTTAAAATAAATAACATTAATATAAGAAATAAATAAAAAATAATAAAAAAATAATTATTTTTAATTAATTAAAAATATACAGATACATATTTTCTATAGTTGTTTGATTTAACTGGATATTAGGCTCATCCAGCAAGGGCATTTATACATTTTCTGATTTTTTTTTTTAAATTATTATTTTGACACTTTGGTCCTCCATACATGACCAGAGTGGCGCTCATCATAGAGAATGCCGTTTATTTTACTGAACACCATCGATCTATAATGCTTAAATGAGTAAAAACATTTTAATGTCGTGGCTGGGAGGGATTTTTAGGCTCATGACCTTAAAAAAGGTCAAAGCTATAAAAATGTGTTCAAGGAAAAGTAGCCCACAGTATTTTCATATGAACTGAAGCGAAGTAGACCTGTAAAGGGGCCAAAAGTAAACGCTGTTGCTGATGGCTGATATATCAACATCGTTTTTATTTTTATTTTTACTACGTCAAACGCGGAAGGAGCTAGGGCGAGGGCAGAGAGCCAGAAGCGAGCTTAAACAGAAAAAAGGGGCATTCTGCTCCGCCCTCAAACCTCCATAATCTGTCGCTGTATCAGTGTGTCCGCACATAACAGGAGGTTTCTACGGTGGAGGTTTCAGTCCGTGCTCTATTTGACCTTAAAGCAAACATGTCGGGTTAAAAAAAAGAAAATACGGAGAGCTGACCTACAGTGTAGTTAGTGTGGAGAGTAAAACGAAGCAGTCGCAGGGAAATATGTAAAGACCAACAGGATGGCGTTTGAGGGAGAAAATAACGAAGCAGCGGGTACTTTTATTGACAGCTATGGTGAACATTCAGGAGCCGTCGTAGCTTAGCTGTAGCGCGAAGTTGACCCAGGACTGGACTACACGCCGACCCGCAGACCCGAGCGGACGGAAGGGAAGCTGAAGCAGCCGTAACCTAAAGGAAGGAGAGTAAGTGCGAGCGTGTGCGGGTGATGCTGAGAGGAGTCATTGTTGCTATGAATTTAATCGTGCTTATGGTTAGCGCAGTAACTTAGCTAGTCATCAGTTGGTGTGTGGCAGTCAGACTTGCTAAACTTTGCTTTTTTACAGAAAGTTTTTGCTGAGCATGTGCCTGCCATACTTGTGTTTACGTGGTAAATATAGAAACGGCTGCACACAAGAAACTTACTAAGAAAATCCATTTAGTTAGATTTTCACTGCAGTCCACTCTCAGTTTATCAAACATGCCCGTGTAAAGAAAAAGACTAATGATCATTGATTTGGATCAGGATTTTATTACAGCCTATATGTACTGCTGTGCCCATCTGCCATCAGCAGTCCGTTATCAACCAGTAATTCGAGTTTTGAAAACCTGAAGAGGCAGCACTTTTACAGACCTTCAGGAAAAAGCTGACCTTCATGAAGACCCCCTCTGCAGAGCTTTGCATGTTTGTTGACGTGAATAAAGCGATGTCAACTCAGCGATGTCAACAGTTTACATTTATTTATAACTAGTTTAACCCTTTATTACCAGATTATATACCTACGTACATCATTAAAGTATGATGCTATAATACATTATATACTGGGACATGGCATTCTAATCTGGCATTCCATTCTATACCACGATATTCCACACCTTACTGTAATGTTCTGTTCAATATGACATTTCATTCTATGAAATTCCTTTCTATATTATGACAATCCAATCTTTGCTATGACATTCCATTCTATACTACGACATTCTACACCTTACTATAACGTTCCTTCAGTATGACATTGCTTCTATACTATGTCATGCCTTTCTATGCTATGACATTCCATTCGGTGTACAGTCAAATTGTCTATTAAACTGAACTGTACAAACATATTCGATTGTGGAGTTGTATAAAATGTTTGTATATGCCATGTACGCATTGGCACTCACAATGTCTCATCAAGATTGGTTCACTCGTATAGGAGGAGATAGGGAGCATACAAACATGTATAGTATGATTTCTCTATTTTGTTAAACTTTGGGTGTTCAGGAACTAATTCACTGGGGAGCTGCATCCTAGAATTATTAGTTTTCTATACTCTTACTTGTTTTTCCTTCTTACCTCTGAGCTTTATCTTAGGAATTTGCTTTTTTTCAGTTAGCACCCAATGAGGATTTAGCATATTTCAGTTTTGTCTTTATGGTCTACAAGCGTGTAGTTTTAGTTTCGTTTTTATTACTTTCTTTCTTAGTTTTATTTATTTATTTATTTTTTGCCATTATTAGGATATAGAGACTATTCATTAGGAGCATGTATTTTAGAACTTAAGAATAATGCAATTTTTAATGGCACTTGATTGATGATCATATAGAACAGTAATCCCAAGTCTCACCAGGACACAAATGCATGTCTCATCAAGTGTGTTGTGATGTTGTTACTTCCCATTTTTCTCATAATTCTTGTCTTTATTTCTGTTAGTTTTGCTCATTTAGTTTTGTATTTTAGTTTATTCTTAGTTAACTCCACTAACCTCCCTGTTACTGGAGTTATAGCTTAAATACATAAGCTGTAAAATGTATTTATTTATGTAAATAAATACATAGCTCAAGATACGTCTATCTTGAGTGCAAACTACACAACAGGAACACAGTCTCTAAACCGATTTAAGGCTTACATTAGTGTGTTGTACAGTTCTTCATTACAGACTGTCTTTGATAAGGCTAATTATTATAGAGGCCTGTAGACTGAACTCATTGTCATGTTGGAAACGGCTTAATTGTATTGCATGACACATTCCTGGCACCCCAGTACAGAACTCACTTTAAATTGGTGTGAATAGCATGTCTAACTAGTCTAAAGACTCAAACAATGGGGATTTGTCCAGCTGCTTACTGCCTTCTTCCAAAGTCTCCCCTGCCTCTTTTAAATCAGTACTTTAGTGAAAATGTCTGGCAGCTCCTTCCATATTGTAACAGATTTTATTTGCTGAAGGTTTTTAGACAGTAATCATATACTGCTTTTAGATCACCAAGGAGAGGCTCCTGGGAAACCTTTGAATGAAAACCACTAAGAACAGGTTGCTTTATTTAATGCTTGCAAGAGCTCGCAGCATTCAACACATATAAATGCAAGGTACAAAAAAATTAATCAACCATTATCTTAATCTAAATTCGTGTCCTCCCTGAAAAGGCATTTGTAACAGCTTACTCTGATTTTTATCAGTAAACGGGAATACTTTAATAACTGGAAATATTTGTTGCTCCAATTGAAAAGGATACAGACCAGTTGAACAGGAGAATGATCTTCTTTATGTCGTTGGAAAATGAGCTCAAGTATGAATAAACTCCAGCGATAAGGTCGGTTGCACAGTATTAGACCGTTTTGGTAAGATGTAATAAAAGGGGATTCCCTCATCCCTTTAATCAACAGCGCTCTCAAGAACCTTTGACAAAAACCCCAACTTTGAGTCTTCTTGGGGGTAGGGTTTATTACAAACCTTTTACATTACAAAGCTTGCTAGATTTTTGATTTGAATGGATTCTTTATAGTAGTGATGATTAATTTTGCAAGCCTGTACTCTTGAGAGCAGTCAGTTTCCAGTTCAAGCTTTATAATTTTTGAAATGTTTGAATCATCTGTCATCAGTAATACTAAAAAGAATTCTTATTCTGACTGTATACCATTTGAAGGAAAGTGCTGGTGATAGAGTAAAGACGGGTTAAGGTCCACATTTATCACAACAAGGATATACTGAAGTAGTATAAGTATGTTAGGTTTAGATCTGACATATATACAGTTTGCCACTGCTGTCTTATTTTAGTTGTAAAATAACCACTAATAGCCTTGGTAATGTTTCAGTTGTGTATGTAGGCAGAGCTGGCACAGTTTTCAAAGACAAATAAACTGTTTTATTTACTGGAAGGACAACATCAGTGACACAGGCATTTTATGGGGAAAGTACATTATTCTTGCATCAGTGTGTGCAAGTTTTATCCAGGTCATGTACAAAGAACCGCACTGTCAGCTGTTGCAGTGGAGAAAAATTAGTTGAGTGGTTTAAAATGGAACAGCACGATAAGAGCTTCATGTTGTTTCATATCACAACTTTCTTTAAATAATCTTTATGACCCTTTTAGGAACCATCACAACACAGAGAGACTTGTGGCTAGATTAGAGCAAGGTCCAAGGAAGTAGGGTTTAGTGTGCAATGCAAATGTGAAATTGCTCAATTAATTCTGACCCTGAACTTTATTATTTTTAGACAGCTTAACAGCCTTCTTCACTTGTGACTGAAAGTCTGTGCCAGAATGCTTCACAGTTAGCAACTTGCTGTGTGTTGTTGTTTTTAAATAATGTACTCGATGATTTGCTCGTCACCTCTTATCTGCCTCTTATCTCTTGCTTACCACTGCATTCTTTATATTTTGGTTGATTGACCATCACTGACCATTCGCAGGAAACAGCACTGGTGTATTTTTAGCCAAAAAGTCACATTGGGTAAAGTTCCAGCTTACCTCTGTCTCTTTCTCTGTATCTGCTGCATTAGATAACCATAGATGCTATAAAAGATGGATGTAGTCACTGCGATGTCACCCACTTGTTTTCGACTTTCAGAGTTGAAGTCTTTATGCTAACATTTGGTGTAGGAAGTCATATTTGGCGTACACGTCAGCTTATTACTGTTTAGTAGCAGAGTAATAGCAGTCTAACAAAACAGCACAAGCTTATTGGCTTGGCTGCGTAACTCAGTGAGCCCTTATATTTGTCAAATGATCCATTAAAATGATCCAAAGGGCATAGAGTAACATAGATACAGTGAAGAGGTCCAGTTCATTAACTCCAGTTAGAAAATGTGAGGCACACCACAGCATCAAGGTGGATGAGTTATTAAAGCCTACCTCTTTACCCTCATTTGAGTTGTTGTGAAAGAAGGGAACTCAAATCAGTTTGTACCAGCCTGTAAACATGCTTTTTAATCTTCTAAATGTATGCATTTCAACTAGAGCTGGGCGATAGAACGATAACGATATGTATCGCGATATAACTTTTTCTCGATAGAGAAATTAAACTATCGCGATAGACCTCGCCGCTCTTGTCCTCTTAAAAAAAAGAAAAAAAAGAACAGCCAATCCAAATTAAGTAGCGCAGAGCTGAACCAATCACAGCCGCAGCGTCACGTCACGTGACTTGTTACGTACAGCACAAGTGCCAAGCCGCACATGTGTATTTGTTTGGGAAGCAGCCAGCCACCGTACCGCCCGGGTAATGGAGGAAATGAGTGTGCCGACTAGAAAAATCAACCCAGCGTGACCGAAGGTTACCGAAGAGAAAACAGATGATGGTTCCAATGCCGGAGAGATTGTCGAACGGAAGAGCCATAGAAGTTCCGTAGTGTGAAGGTATTTCGGCTATTTCAAGTCTGACAAAAAACAGAGTAGCGTGCACTGTAAATTGTGCTGAAAGCAAGTCTGGAAATACAATAAACTGGTGCATGCGTCACACTGTGCGCCACGTTATTGTTTCGGTGAAATTAATTTCTATAATACTGTTAATTGTATTCTCTGCAGTGTTTAAATGCTTACACATACACACAGTTACTGTCTGTCCACACATACGACTCGGTTCTGCTTCTATGCCCCAGCTTTGTTTACTTTTTCCCACCGAGGCTTCTAGACTTCTGATTGGCCAACATTTAGGCACGGTTAGGAATCGAGCGCCACCTGCTGCTTTGGCATGTTCATAGCAGCGTTTTCCTTCATTTCTCCCTTTATGTGTGGACGGGATTATTTTTTAAAACGAAAACGGAAAATCTCCGTTTTCAAAAATACCCGTGTACGTGTGGACGTAGCCTCAGTCTCTGACTGGAAGCGCTAATTCGGCTTTTGTCAGACTAAAGTAACTGTTAAAACTGTTTGAAAAGCTCAGCTATACAACAAGGAGAGATTGAGAATTTCCTTTTAGTTCTCCGTTTATTTGATATTGACAAAAGTT